GGAGGAGGAGGAGGAGGAGGAGGAGGAGAGAGGAAAAGAAGAAGCAGCTGCTAAATGTACAGAATCACATATTCAACAGCACTCACTCCAGGTGAGGCACCAGGAGAGGCCCCGGTGGAGAGGCTCACCTGGCTGCGCTGGTCCAGCTGTTGCTCCAGTTGACTGCTTTCTTGAGAGAAGGAAATTCACTGTGCTACACAGCTGTTATTGTCTCTAAAGGAAAATGGCATTTGTCAGTTCTTCTTTGAGAAGGGACCATTGTGACAGTGAGAAGGGACGCTGCGGACGGGGCACAGCTTTGGGTCCTGTACTGTTTGTTTGTTCATCATTTTGGCAGTCACTGGAAGACATTCTCTCTGCCCTTCATCTCAAATAGTTTTTACTACTTCTTTTGCATCTGGTCTCTAGTTTCTATTGGTATTTCAGGCTTTGTGGGGGGCGGTTGTTTTAATCATTTTTTGAAAAATAAATGAGTCAATAGTTACTGATTCTAATCCTTGTTTGTAACTTAGCTATGATGCAAGAAGTGGGCTTTGCACACTGATTTTCCTTTCGACTTTGGTCTTTGTACCCTGTATTTTGCACATACTTTGTTCATGGAATAACTATTATAAAGCAGCTTAGATGGAAGTTGGTTTCTAGTTTGGGCCTGGCGTCTTGATATAGTGACTTAGTTACCTCTCTTTCAGCTAAAACCTTGAATTTCTGAAGACTGAAATGTTCTCCAAATAAATGCAAGGTATGATTATTGTAGTGAAGGTATTTAGTCATTTTAATTGATTCATACTGCAGTAAATTACTTTGCATTTCTTTTAAAAATTATTTGTTTTTTAGTTGTAGTTGGACCCAATATCTTTGTTTTATGTATTTATTTTTATGTGTTGTTGAGGATAGAACCCAGGGCCTCGCACATAGTAGGTGAGTGCTCTACCACTGTGCCACAAGCTCAGCCCCTACTTTAAATTTCTTGCAAACTGTCTCTCTTTTTAATATGCCTCATATCCATTTTTTGATAAAAATCAGTTACATATAACATATTTCCAATATCCAAAAATTACTCTCTCCCTTCTTTCTATAAATATCTGCTGGATACTCCATAGGGAGCTCAGAGGAACGTATTTTTCTATGGAAGGAAGTCAGAATTTGGTCTTAATTAGGTCCTGCCCAATATCCCTGAGTTGTCCAGTACAGCATTGGGCCCAAATTACATACTCAGCAAATATTTACCAATATGACATAATTTTATTGCTTATTTCATTTCACTGTTTATTTTAGCGATAAAGGCTAAGAGAAGTCTATTGCTAGGATATTTTTACTTTCCAAGTTCTGAGTCTAGCCATAGCCTTAAAAAATGAAATAATCTTGAAGGGTAATTTGAATCTATACTTTTGTTCCCTCCTGCAAAAATGACATATGGGAAATACAAAGTGGAGGGAGGGAAGAAACCCAGGATATGCTTCTGCTTCTTTTCTGATATGCAAAAAATTAACTGTGTCTATTGAATTTGCCTGAAAGGACATAGTAAGAAAAAAATGACAGGATCATCCAACACAGTATCTGACACCACATAGATACTCAATAAATACTGACTTCTTTATTTTGATGTATTGGCCTACTTAACTGAAGGGTCTTACTCCTTTATTTCCATATGATCCACCTTCCTATTTTCTTTGTTGTCTTTTTCATTTCAAGAATGTTCTGTGGGTGCTTTTTCTCTGAATCCCTAAAATGGGCTCCATGTTCTGTTACATAATAGAGAGAAGTATCTTAGCCTGACATTTTCCTTGAGTCTTTCATATGATTTAAGGCACCTTGAGGAAGGGATCTGTGAGCTCCTGTATCAACGGACGATGATCTTTATCAAGTGACCCACACATTGGTAACTAGTGCAATGAGAAATTAAGAAAATAGCACACTTCTGTGACTGTCATCTCACAGTCACTCAAATCAGAACTGGAATGCCACAAAAACAACTCCCTGTTAGCCCTGAGGAAAAAAAAAAAGAAAGAAAGTAAAGGGGAAATTCAGATTAGTCACAAAGAAGTTCCCCCGCCTGCTTGCAAAGTTGCAAAGTTAAAACTGAGCGAGTCCGCTCTGCTCTTTCAATCGCCTTTCCTCTCTGGCCCCGGACCGGGGTCTGTCTTCTGGGTGAGAGCTTTCTGTGGCCTTCTTCTCCTTGTGGGGAAGGTGCCCGTCTTCCCCCAGTTCCTCTGGGCCACATCTGCATCCTCCCTGCTTCCAGATTGTGGAGATGGAAGGGGTTCAACCCCTGGATGAGAGTGTAGGAAACACACTACGGTCAAGATGCCAGAGGAACAAGCTCTTGCTGGTGGCCTTCGTGGCCCAGGGGCTGGGGCTGTTCCTGTGCCTCACCCTCATCTGCCTGTACCGCTCTGCTCCTCAGGTAAGATGCGCCACCAGGCGTTTCCCCCTTGGGCTCAGCTGGTGGCAGCTGCAGTAGCAGCAGTTACTGATGCCAAAACTGTTGTGTCTCCTCACCACCAAGTGGTCGTAAGGTGTGGTCAGACACCCCCTGTCTCTCCTTTCCTTCCTTCCTTCCTTTTAGCGGTGGCAGGGGTAGGGCACAGTGGAGATGGGGCAGAGGCACCACTTCTAGGTTTTTTCCTTTCTCTGCAGGGCAAGGATCCTAGTCTTCCTGCATGAGCTGTCACTTTGAAGCTGAGTCACTGATCTCCACACTTGGTTTATCCATCCTGATAAACATGTGTCTGATGAGGGAATTGATGTAAAAAGAAAGAAGAAAGAGACCAGTTCTACTTTTCTATCATAGTCATAAATTCTGCAGGCACTCAAACGATTTGCTTTTTAAAACAGGCTGAAGGTTTCCAGATTAAGTTCTTTCAAACAGCTGACCTTGCATTTTAAGGGCAGCAATGCATGCATGCATGTGTGTTTGCCTGTATGCCCACACATTCATCCCAAAGATCGGATCCAGTGTTGTTCCTCCCAGTCTGTCTCTGCCCGTCTACCTACGCTGTGCGGAGACAAGGCTTCGTCTTTTCCCACTTGGGGGAGCACATCATGCAGCGGGGGTCCTCAGCATCCTCCTCACTGGACACCTTCTTCCATTTCCCCCGCTCTCTACTCTCATTCCATGCTCCCCTTGGGTCACATCATTTTTTTCTTATTTATTTATTCAGATATACAAATATTATTAGGTCTTTAAGAGTGTTCTTCATGGCAGGTGTGAAGCCTAGAGTCTCCCCAGCTCCCTCTGTGGGGCTGGTCTGACGATTCTTATTTCCCTGGATGGTTGCTTTGGGTGGTGAAAGTCTTCCCGGTGAAGGGCAGGCAATAGGAATCTTTTCTTATTCATTTGGCTTATTAGTGCATTATAGTCATATGTGACAGTGAGGGACCTGCATGTTGATGGCCATGTCAGAGACTGGCTGCCACATTAAAGCAGGCCGAGCAGTCCCAGTAAATGCCCGGGCTTGTCTCTGCCCACAGGAAACGGGGATTTTCAGTGGTCGGTGGGAGCATGTGAGTTGATGACTGCTGAGCCTCGGAGAGGGCTCGTGACTTCAAATTCTAGAACTGTGGCTGGTGTGACACAGCCAGCACACCTGTTCCCCCCACCCCCACCCCACATTCACTTCTCCCTCCGTGCACAGCCCTCGGGTGAAATTAAAGCAGGTGCTTTGGGGAGAGAGTGTGTCCATGGCAGGGCACCCAAGACACAGACCGGAATTAGGCTCTTGGGAGAAGAAAGCAAACAGGGTAGCTAAAAATAGAACCGCTGAGTGCATTCACCAGGTCTGGGAGCCCCGAGTGCTTTTTAAACAACCGCAGAGCTGTGCGTTTCCTTACTCTGTGGCATGGTGAAGACAGGACGTGTGGCCCAGGCAAGGCTGGCCAGATGTACCAGGGCTCTAGGCAGGGGACATCAAGGTGAAGCACGCATGTCTAGCCTGCTGGGTCTGGGGCCACCTGGAACTGTCGGCGCCCTGGGAACCCTGAGAAGAAGAGAGGCCCTTTTTACAAGCCACTCAGCAGCTCTGGGTCAGACCTGGGAAGCAGACTGACAGCGGGTTTCCAGGCCACTGGGTCTCAGGTGAGCAGCTCTGGGAGAGAAGTAGCTCCCGTGTTCTGGGGTAGAAATGGAAGCAACTATGTAGGTAGTATGAGTGGTTTGCTCAAGAAACAGGATCCCATATATTCTGGATAGAGTTTTTTTTTACCCTTTTTTGGCTCAGATATTTGAAATTCTTCACGTAACATTGACTTAAATTTCTTTTTCCATTTTTCTAGCTAGACTGTTTTAGTTAATGTGATTTAAATTTTTATTTTATTTTTTAAAACTGTTAAAGGTCCTGGAACAGCACATGGGTTGTTACATTTAATCTCATATACTTCAGCATGGGGAGGAGAGCACAGACAGGTTGTGTGGGTTTTGCCTGGAACTTGTTGGAACAGTGTTGGTGGCAGCAGCAATGGCTGCTGTGGGGGAGGAGAGGGGGATGGCGGTGGAGGTGGAGGGAGAGGGGGGGGGAGCGGGGGGGGGGGGGGGGG